GGTCGCCTGTCCGTCATCAGTTAACCCTGCGAAACAACTACGTGGGCAACAGTCGGCCTTTATAGCTGATCCCAGGTAGCCCAGCCTACGACGAGGCTTGTTGCAGCCCGTTGAACTCTTTCTAATTAGGCAACCTCAGAAGCCATACAAGGAAAGACCGCCGGACCAATATATTCCACTCAAGGGCATACCTGGGAGGGAAACAACAACATGAAGGCCGTCAGGAGTAAAGAACCGAACGAACGGCAGATAGTACCCAACAACATGCTCCACGCAGAGGCACAACCCCTTCATGTATGCACACAAACTCTTAAGCTGGTAACAACAATACTCAAATCTCGTTTTTCATCATTATCAAGATCATCACTGTACAGCGTATTACAGTGAAGCGAACTTCACTGATCGCTGTCAAACTCATTGCATACAAGATAAGTGATAATGTGTAGGGAGGACAGGGATTGAACCTATTTTTAGGGGCGGCAAAAGAAAGCGAACCTCTGTGGTCAGCACACAGGGTACACAATCCCACTGCGCACACATACAATTTCAAGCATCCTGGTTTGATAAGAAGTGACAGCAAGATCGCCATTGCTCTCGGTTCGCAGCCATAACCTTCAGTGTCTCCAACCATGCGGTTTTGGAGTCTTTTGGACCCCAACCCGGGAAACGAGAGACACATACTCTACCTAATCGCTCTGTGCATTTCTTCATGCCTCGTCTCTGTGTTATCTGCTGGACTCCACGTGGCTTTCTCCAGCCTGTAACAGCCACTGCAAACAAAGCGCGCGACGGTAGGCGACCGTCGGACATACGCAAAACGTGTCCTGACCAACGGAGCCTATTGAGCTGGATTTGATGAGATAGCGAGTTCTTGTTTGATGAATTCCCAAACACCCGACAACTTACTTCTAAGTTACTAACCTGCTCACTCCATTCAACCTGAACCAGACTACGTAAGCATCGATTGTAGAAAACCACTAGGCGACGGATATCCTCTACCCGCAAATTCAAGGTCTCACAACTGTAAAGCAGAACTGATCATACAGTGGCGCAATATACGCGTCTTTTCAACTTCAGCAAAACGTCACGTCGCCGCCACAGGTGTTTAAGTCCTGTGTACGCCGCTCAAGTCTTGGAAATGCGGGCGGTTATATCCTTTAATTGCGCTACCGTCGTTGGTCACGCAGCTACCTAAGTACGACAAGCAGTCAACTTCAGCTAGTTCCTAACCGTCTAGTTTCAGAACACAACTCAGCGACACCCAGTCTTGTAGCATCACTTTGCACTTTGAAGGTGCAAAGCACATGCCGAACGGAGCCACAGAACTTGCTAATCTGCCAATTACGCTTTACGTGTCCTCCGTGCACTTGAACAGAAAGACGATGTCATCGCTGTACTCCAAATCGCACACTTTTTCTCAATCTGCCCATTCAATACCTACGTTTTTGAGACCACTTAGTGCGTCCTCCAGTAATCCTTCTACGACGAAATTGAACAGGAACGGCGAAAGAGGGCACCCGTGACGAACACCGCTTCTAGTTAAGAACGACCTACTCAGCTCGCCGTAGACCCTTACGCTACCAGAAGTATGCGAGTAGCGTGAACTCAGTATGTTCACGTACTTCTGTGGCATTCCTTTGCGAAGCAGCAAACCCTTGCCGTCATTCCGTTCAATACCACGCCTGACGAAGCGAAGCCTTACATAATTCGCTACTCCAAGTCCTAGAGCTTGGCTACCGGTATCCATCACTTAACAGCAGATCTCCGTGACTACGGAGTCCGTTCTGTCTGCGGTTTATCTGACAAGTGTGTGTGATCAAAAGGGCTATGCTTGTACACTATATTTTAATTGCAAGTAAACAATGGAATTATATAAAAGTGCGAAGACCTCTGGGTTTCTACAGGTGATGGCAGCACAACCTGAAAAGTTTCCTACTGGCCTTATTTTCTGCCTTAATGTATTGTGATTCAGAGTTGAAAGCTTTTGTAAGAACAGCTCGTAAATCCTTCACTACTGTTGCTTGCTTCAGTGATGGCTGTCCTTCAAAGATTGCAACATACCTGGTTGAAATTTCGAGGTTTAGTGCCAAATCCCGTTAAATCGGCCACAATCAAACTGCCTTCACGTTGCGTTCTGTCTTTTCAAATGGACCGGTTGTAACTTCAAGTTAATCCAGCTAATCGCATTCTACTGGGAACTTTACGAGGTGATGGGTGCTTCATCTGCCACACGCTACGGAATGAAATGATTTCTCTCTAGCCACTGAGTGAATTACAGAGCGAGGATGAATTTTTCGGTGGGGGGAGGTTAACTGTTTGCCCCCCCCCTCCTATGATCATTTGGGAGCACTTTGTCCTTTACCGTTGATGGAGTGAACCTAAGACGAGAATGAACAAACCCGGCGTTAATTGATTTCAGTCGGTCGTGTAATGAATTAAACCACCTCAAGATGGATCGATAAATCAGTCTCTGTGCTCAGGCGTGCATGTAAGAATGATTAATTGCATGAATGGGTTAAGTCTATGCCCTTAAGAGACTACGGAGTAAATTCCATTAAGACCGAGATTCCCTCGAATAACACCGATTCCTTTAAACAAAATGCAATGGTTTACCTATTTCTGGCATTGTAAGGCACATTCAATAAAATACTTAGCAGTGGTACAGGGAGATAATTAAAAGTATTTCACCTGAATAGCAAGATCAAATTTGAACTGATTCACTAGCTAACATTAGTTACATTTTTTTCTCTGTAATTCTCGGATTAACAATAGCATTCTAGCCAGAATACCAATAGCAACAATCTTTCATCTGCAGCTTCGTCTGCATAGTTTCTTATCCCCATTGCATCATTCACCAACCCGTCGCACCCCTTTACAGCCTGATTACACGCTTGTGAGTGACTAGACCATATGGCAATAAGAATAACTCACTCTTACCCATGATTCTACAAAGACTTATCTGAAGGAACAAATTTAATAAAATCTTGAACGGGGACATTTTGCTGGTGACCAAAGAGCTGGGGGAAATTATGCTATATTTCCCTAGTCATCTCGAAAAAGTATGAGTAAATTTTCACCTACGGGAGCGAGCTCATTGGCATATCGAGGGGTGGAATACAATAGTTAACACCAAAAATAAAGCTTAAAATACTGGGGTTCTTTCGCACCTTGTGTTACACGGGAGTGTTGAGTGGTTTGAATTGCTTGTGTAATGAATTTCATTGTGAACAGAGTCTATAAAGTGTGAAAATAAATACATGTATATTTAATACTGGCTTGTAGACAAGCGTGGTGCCAATACCACAGCAATAATAACAATAACACGGTAGTTGGATGGCAATACAGAACAAAGTGGCGAAAAGGTGAGACAGTTAAAATAGAAAATGGTAGATAACTGGGATGATAGTTTTTTTTGTGTGCCTGACCGTACACTTTTTGATACGTTGTGTTGGATTCAGTCGACGTTACGGCGGATTCACATGAAGTTATAACAGTTCCACTTGTGGCGGAAAATTTATAGATTTACTCTTGCTATTTTCACATCACCCACGAGCATGAAGCAGGGATTTTGGAGATTCCACTTCAAGTTATTGGTATATGTATAAGAAAGACTGGTAATCTTCATATTAAACCTTTAGATACTCCACCAAGCACATTTTCGGGTTCACTAGTGAAATGGCCTACCTTCACACAGAAGGTGCAAGAAATTGCAGTATCGAATTTTCACTCCGCTCCGCACTCCTATGTTTTGCAGCCTGTGGCTGAGTGAATCTAATGCCCACAGAAGTCAAAATAGCAAGCCTCGACCTACCGACCTTCTCCCAGCGTTCTAGTGAACCCATCCAAAAATTTCTGTAGGTTAGTCAATCATGATTTTTTCCCAAAAAATATTTTGGGTTGGTGCCAACAAATTGTACGTTGTCAGGTATTTACATTTTTGCCTCCTGATGATTTGTTCCAAGTAATTACGCAACAGATATCAGGCTTATCAGACGGTATTTCTTTGCTATCTATCTATACCTAGCCTTTTTTAGTCCAGTTATTGTTGGTCTTCACCACTCTTCCGTCTGTGTCACGGGTCGACGATAGACTGGTCGACCTATTTTAATTGTTTGCTATCGAACATTGTTCTGTTCCTATCCTGATCTTAGAGAATAACTGGTCTGTTCTTCTCATATTTTTTATCATGCATGTACATTTTTCCATCATTTTATATTTTAAGTTCTTCTACGAGCACAATATTGCAGCGTGAATGCTTGGTTTAGTGTTAAAGAACAAGATTATGAAATTTCCAAATTCCTGAGATCTGTTATAAGCGATCTTTATTCAAAGCATAGTAATGAAAGTTTTGATAAACTTCGGAATTTATCTCAGTTTTGAAATTTATATATTTGACTCATTTTTCAGAGCTTTTATTTTGATCGTCTATCGTATGTTTTGCTGAAACTCAATAGTAAGAGCAAGGAATATCAAAAGTTTTCTTCAGGTCAAATCCAATAAAATTCTTCTCTGTTATGCAGTCCTCTGAGGTGTATAATTTCCAACGTAGAACGAGTTACTGTTTCTTTAATATTTTTCCAGCGACTTTGTTGAACAGTTTGATTTATCTTCTCATTTATGACTTATTCGAATTCTTTCAAATCGGTCGTCCGTGAGACATCAATTGATGACTGTGATGCAGCTCACCTTGGTTGTTCACACTTGTATAGATGTATTTATTCTTCAGTATAGTATGCCTTTGTTTAAGCGATTATAGGAACTTTAAATTTATTAGGAATACAAACATACCAGGATGCTGTATTGATATATATATATATATATATATTTAGCGCCTGCTTTCGGACCAGTACAATACCAACGTTGATCTATATTTCAACTAAAATTGGAAGTTCCCTCCATCGCAGAATAAAACGCTTTTTGTTCAATAAATGGTTTTGTTTCATAATTCTTCGTGAGATTACGATCTAATCACAATACATCTGTTTTTACTTCAGCGCGTGATGGCTCCAGCCTTGATAAAGGCCAAAACTTGTGTTGAGTTCTTCATAAAACTTCTACGTTGCGTTGACTTCTCTCAGTATGTAGCCGAAGACTTTCGCCTGGCAAAATTTAACGATGCAAAAGCGTACAGTCCAATGTTGCGCTTACTTTTTGAGATGATTTACTTTTTCAATTATCGCTGCATCGATGCCACATGTTTTAATGCATACGAAAACTTTTCTCAGGAAAATATTCAAATCTATATACTGAACGAGCTCATTCGCTTGGGATACTCTCGACTGGTCAATATTCCCTCCATGAACTCGTCACGGGAACTTTTGTTGGCTTCGTTGTGGCTCTTTCACCATGGATCTGTACTGAATGAAATTGAGACCACAGTGTTTGGTCGTTTATCTAATGTGTTTGATCCTTCACATTTCCCGGTTTCCAAAATGGATACAGACTCACGCTTGTGCCAATTTAACTGCTTAGAAGACCAAGAATATAACACATCTTATGTGACTCATCTTGGTTGGTCCATTGGTCGTCTTTTGGTGAAATTGAAACAGCTTCATCAGTCTCGTCTTGCTGTTGTGAATCGGAGCTGTGGAACCCATGTGGACCCAAAAGCACCGACAGATTGGAATTCATCTGATGAGAAACTAAGCGAGCGAATTCGTACAATTGGAACTATCATTCAGCATTTGGAATTGCTTTTATCATGGGCATCTGTTAGTTCCACCTTCTGGCGATGGTCCATTTCGCTGTTCGATATGGGTTCGGACATGCTACCGGAAGACCAGATTGTACCGTGCGATTCAAAAAACTTCGAGAGCCTTGTCCTATCTCTGGATGCTTCATTGCGTTTTCTTTACAAGACAGGTGAAAAGTTTGGAATTACGGATGCATATCCGGACCGTCCTTTGGAGGATGTCAATATGGACAATTTTCCGCTTCTCGTAGTAAATGAAATAAATTTATTGAATTCGGAACTACTTGGTACCAGAACACAGAATTTATTAGCCATCACACCAATCCGCGTTCGCTACACTACATCAAGTTCCAAATTAACTTCCACTGTCTCCCCTGTTTTACCTCACAAGTATTTACAAGCGAGGTTTGAATTGAAAACTGAATGCTTTCGTTTAAGCTCGTTAGTCGAAAATGCAAAAGGATTGTGCCGGAAAATCCGATCAGATTTGGCAAAAGATTTACAAAAATGGGCAGTAAAGCACATTCCTGATACCCTTTTTTTGTATAATCCATCTACGCGTCCACCCAAATATGCTCAAACCGATCCCCTTTAGCAACAGTGATTTTGATACTTTTGATAGCATTTTTATCTAATCTCTCTGAATTTCTCCCGAGTGATTTTTACATATGTACAGGAGTTTTAATAAATGAACTTCCAACTGTTGCCCTTCATCGTTCTTATTATGTTCGCAAAACACCTCAAAACTTCAGTGTGTGCTTTCACAAACTGATAGTTTATTCCTTTAACGTTCGAATAGTGTGTTGGTCACTCATGTTTGCAAGCTGCATTTTAACGAGTTACGCAAACCCTTTGTTTATTGTTCCCCACGTTCTTTGTTTTGGCATTACGCATTTCCCAGAGGGCTTTTCGCCAATATTCCTATTCTAATAGATTAAGTCTGGTTGTGCTTATTTTTCTTACTAATATCATATATTTTCTCGAACTCGATTCTGTTTGTGAACTGTTCATAGCGGCAAAATAGTGTCAGCCATTCAGTGCAAATTGCATACAAAGCAAGACTTCCTTTCAATACACCTTCTGTTAGTCTTCTGCTTATAAAATAATTAGCGTAGCACACTCTTTGATGTTTTCGGACCGTTTAAGCGAGAATAAAATTGTGCATAGAAATTATTCATATGTGATGCATAAATTAGTTTCAGTCGTGTTTCAGGGTCTTCTAAAACCCTCCCTCATCCCAGGGATTTGGCGCTATTTGCGAATAATTCCATCCTAGATCACTTGGAACTCGAAATAAACAATAGTGGTAAGAGGCAAACTGAACTTTGAGTTTCCTCTCGGTTTCGAGGTGGGATGCTTCGACTTCACCTCTTTTTCATACGTAGATTAGCCAAACGCATTTCAAGAAATTGTAATCATACCTTCAATCCTGTTTCCTGATTAGAATCAGCTACTGCATATGATGTTGATGATTAACATTTGGGTGGTGGTGGTGCAGTGGTTTAGTCACTGTCAGCAGCAGCGTGCTTTGTACCATGTCGTGCGAGATTCGAACACCGCCACATCCCCTCGACTTTAATGGTAAGCAGTCCTACCCCGCCTGACCTAGTGGGGCTTTATGTGGTTCGCTACTCCAAGTCCCAAGGAATAGGTTACCGGTACCCATCACCTTTCAACAGGTCTTCGTAACTACGGAGTCCATTCTGCCTGATATTCGTCACACAAAAATGTATGTAATAAGAAAAAGAAAAATGCGACACTTTCTTTACACACACTCTGAGATAATTACTATTTAATTACCGACCGCGATAAACATTTGATTGCTAATTCCATTAACTGTTTTCTGTACCACCACCCCATATTATACTCAGGTATGTCGTCACAGAGAGGAGTTATTGAATTCCCGTTTAAATGAGATATTACGAGTCTCCTTGTAAGGCCTCCATGTTGTTTGTATTAAACGGACAACCAGTGTAAACCTAGTATCTCGTATTTCCACTAGTCCTGCTGCCTACTGCTCCTGTTTGGGATGCTAGATATAACAAAGCAACCTTAGACAAGCTACTTGTTGGCAATGTATGTATCTACAACGATGAGAATGATGATGCATTGGGTATCCGATTTCAGTTGTTGTGTCTTTCTTACAACGTCTACTAGGGTTCACTTGTGTCTTTGACTTTTTGGCAACACAGTGGCATAACTGCTTGGGCTTGCAGTGTCCTTTGTGTCTACCGGCAATTCATCTCCCTCTCGGTTGTAGGGTTTAACGGGGGTTCATGTCGTCGGTCGATTCGAATACACTAATGCCGTGCCATTTGGATACGGACTTGTTAACATTGGCTGTCCAACTGGCACGACGGGATGTTGCACGAATTCGCGATCCGTCGAATTTGATTGCCCTACAACAACAACAACAGCAATTATTGACTGAACTACCAGAAAGCTCTCATCTTGTTACTACCCGAACACATGCACCATTCACGGAACAGGTAAGTTTTTCTTGTTTTCTCCTCTTGCCGTGCTGAAACCTTTGTCTCTCCGACAGGTATTTACTGTGACCTCTTGTATGCATTGTCTTTCGTCTGTTTACTAAAGATCATCAGAACACCGAAGGCTTCAGGGTTCTTTGTGTTTTTTTGCGGAAAACATACTGCCTTATCGGTATTCACTTAATTGGTCACAAAATATCCACGCAGCTCGACCTTCCTACTCAATTTGTGCAACCGTACTGTCACATTCTGTTGGTTCAGTCTCGTTGCATCCGCTGTGCATTCATTTGACCCATCTCATTTACGAACTTTTATGCATTTACCTTGAGTTTCGATCTCCGTTGGCAAGGCAATGTCTTTATGAAAGGCAAGGTGCAATACAATAGCGTTTTTTTATTAGTCCAGCAATGAGCACCAATGAATTTTGACACATTTTTAAATGAGTTACTGTACGTATTCTGTCATTTAGTGATTTCCGCTTAGTTAGGACGTGCTGCACACGTCAGTTCAAAATACATGTTTTGAGCCACTGCAGTGTAAGGAGGGGATGTATGGACCACTGCGCTGGGAATCTCTTTAGTGGTTGGTATACTCTAAATTGTTCTGGTTGATGAAATGAAACAATGCATTTTTCTGTGTTTTACCATAAAGCCGATCAGTACTGTCCAATTTGCAGTTCTCTTCACACCTACCCCGCTGACTCTCCCGATCGCGTTTGTATTCACTCTGTTGCTTCAGCGTCATGTTCAAGTTCCCGGAGCAGTTGCGATGAGCCAGCCAATCACATCGAATGAACGTAAATGGCGTTCTGTCGGGTCTCGTAAAGTCGATGTAGCTGCTCATTCAAATAGTCCTGGACCAGTGGATGGTTTACCTGTCCGAAGTCTTTCGCCGCCAACGCGAGACATAGATCAGCCGAAACCTGTTCGTGCAAAAGCATTGCATGAACCGACAGAGAAACAATTACAGAGTGCTCGGGTTAGTTTTTCACGGAAATTTTGATTATTTTTACTGTGTTGACAAGATTTTTCGGTGTTTATCTTCCAGTGCGCATCATAAGGCTTTTTTTGTTCATTTTGGTACTACTAATTTATCACTGCCTTGAAGCAGCACTAGATCATCCCACTTCGCTATTTATTGGAAGCACAGTACAACTGTTTCATCCGTAGCAGTGGGACGGGGTCGTACCGTTTCGTGATGACGTGAATATAACCGCTGAAGGTGACGATGGTGACTTAGCGGTAAGGTGTGGGAGTCATACCTCCGAACGCCTAGGTTCAAGTGGTCACAAGCTTAGTGGATGTGTATTATTCTTGATATGAATGAAACAACCATCCAGTGTTTCGAAGTTTTTAAACGTTAGATGTGATGCATTCATATTAGAATGAGCTATTCCATTAGCATTGGCAGTCTTCACATATAAACTAAGATTAAAGCTTGATCCTTGACAGTTACCGTTTTTTCCTAACTGAAACACTTTCCGATCATCCACTCCCCCGTTAATTTACGGAAGATATATATATATATATATGCATGTAGGTTATAGCATTCTGTATCACATCGCAAAGACCAACAAACTACGATATTTTAGAATGTTATGTTCTTACTATTTCATTTCATTTTGCGGGCATTAAACACTGCTTATGGTTTTATTTTTTCCGGTGGGGTTCACTTTTCAGAGTTTACTTGTTCGCCACCCCCGAACAAGACAATCCATAGTGCTGAAAGCCCATGAAATCGAATAGGCTAATCCAAACTGTATTTACAATTTGTGCTACCATTCACTCAAGGTGTTGATTGCAAAAATATCTTTTTGATTCTACCGATAGCAGTAGCTCTCTGTTTTCTAAACGCCGTACTTTTTGTTGCTTTCTGGCACATAGTTTCCACTTTGGGGTTTTCAGTAAAACATAATATATCACAAAACTTTATGTATCCTATTGTACCTTTTCAAGGAATGTAATTCGCATTTGTACTTTAGGACTCCCACATGCGCCAACTGCAAGCGAAAATCGCACGTTACTCAGCCGCTATGGCTGAACTTCGTTTGCAAACCAAAGCAGCAACGGCAGAGAAGAAGAGTAGTCCCAGAGACGGAGGCTCAGTTACTCAATATTCCGGTCTGACTCGTGGTCGTGGACGAGGGCGCTCTCTAAGTGGTAGAGTCCAACAAGGTAGCCGGTCTGGGTCACGTTCAGCCCTCATTCGTCATGATGTTGTGCCTCTGAGTAAACGCTCACGTCCCACCCAATCGGCTCGGAGACAGAGAACAAAGCCATCAAGTCCCATTCACACGGATTCCGAGATGTCTACGGATCACACGGGGACAGATTCGATTACGAAACGCATGCATGAACAGGTCAATACATTGTGGCAACAAACAGTTCAGGCACTTCGTCATCGAAATCCCGATTTGATCGTGCTTGAGCCAGATAGCCAAATGGATGCCATCCCTGTACGTTTTGAGTGGTACATTGGATTGCAACTTTTGTGAATATGAACTGCACAGTGTGAACTATTTAGATAACCTATAGGTTATTTTAAAGTGTTCGTTATCCAATATGCTGTAACAGCCCTTTGTCACGTGTATTTCGCTCGAACTAGTGGCATGTTGTGGTTATTCGCATTTGCTCATTGTGGTCATATCTGGGCCGCTGAGTTTAATTATTCAAATTTCGGTATGATGAAAACCTGGTATTAACGAATCAAGTTTATTTTTGATAGGATGTATTAGATTATCACCGGTGTCATCTTTAGAAAGACGTTTAAAATTGATTAGTTTTGATGCGGATAGCGGATTTCTGACGAGGTGAGTTTGATGCTCAGAATAACAACGTAAACGGTTGAACTTGGTCATAAATTTGCAAGGCAGTTTTTCGGAGACCATTTTATCCCACAGTTCGGAGTAAACATCTTTGGGTGTGAGTTGTTTGTAAGAACAGGCTTTTGTATAATGAAGATTTTTGTTGAATAATAGCACACACGTTTGCCAAATCGCTTTTCATTTGAACGACTCGATGACTGTGGTGGAATTGAATGCAAGCGCCAAAGTTTCTCACCGAATCAGCTGTTGATGCGTTTCATTGTCATTTTTTTACTTAATTTGTAATCTATAAAATACAGTAATATATTTTTTAACACATCAGGACCAAACGATGTTAGGAGTGTATCGAAAAATCGATGCG